AATATGACTCAACACGATACCATTACATGATGTGTAAACTCCGAGTCTAACACCACTTGTTTGAGTTGTATCCGACTCAATCCCAATCACCAAGTTATCATCACCAAATCAGCTGATATGGTTCCGTGAAGCGGTAATATGACCTAATTCTCTAGTCATGTTTAACATTTTTTTTTAGGTCGTATCATCTAATATCGCGCCAGGATATCGCGACCAATGTGTCTTAGAGCCTTTTGAATCGATTGTTAATACAATGACTTTGAACCATGCTTCTATCACTAGATTCCTTGTCAATACTCAACATCCTATCAAGCTTCTCTAAATTTAAAGATAGCTTCCTAAATAAGGCTACATTCAAGCTTTTGCAATATAAATTTTAGACCCTTTTTCGAATTATGAACCGAATAACAGTTGCGTTAACAACAATCAACCAACTTTGACTCCTGAGTTTTACCATTTAGCTTAACCACGTAATCCAATATCATTCCAACAAGCGTTATCCAATGTTCGAACGTCCATCAAATGATTCTCTTTGGAAATTCATTGTTTAAGCAATCATAGCACATCATTCAAATGAACATACACATAAGCTTGGTTCCAACAATTATGTTACAAATTGAACAATCTAAAATTAAAACCCTTTTTCCCAAAAAATACTCGTAGTCAACATTAATACAATCATCAAATCACGCGTTTATAAAATAAATCACTAATTTCTTGTGGTATTTCAATATGGTATCCATATCAACTTACCATTAGCTAAGCTTGTATGTTTCTAAACCTTCACACGAACATAAGCAACTCACTTTTATTGTTCACAACCTATTCCTATTTTTTCTTTTTGAGATTTAGGTAAGTGGTGTTGCTTCCACCACGAACTACAAGGATACATAAGGGACCATTGTTACCTAAATCATGTGTCAATTTGGCACGTGGTATGATACTTTTCTCAATCTGTGCTGAGATGGGAATAGACTTAGTTGGAGTGTTGTTCTAGGTCGCAATTCTCTATGTAAATTTATTCCGAGCCCTTACACTATTATATAGAATTGAGTTAACTACCTATTTGGCCCTTGAATCATATCGTTTGTGACAATCAAGCCCCTAAACTATGTTTTGCATCAATTTAGTTCCTAAACTATGCAATCCAACTCAATGTGACCCTTTTGTCAAAATTTGTCATTAACTTTAATAGAAATTCTCAGGTGCACATCATGCGAGTCAAAGATTAGGTTATAATTTAGGGGTCATGTGATGTGCACGGGAGGATTTATGTCAAAGTTAACGATGAATTTAGAAGAAAGGGCCAACATTAAGGCAGATTGCATAGTTTAGTGACTAAATTGACACAAAACATAATTCAAGGACTTGATTGACACAAATAATATAATTCAGGAGCTAAATAGGTGGTTAACTCTACAGAATTATAAATAGGTATACACATGGTTTTGAAAATTGGCCATTACGTAATGGTATTAGTAGGCACCGATATTGTTACACCCCGTTATCTCAGTCAAAATTTTTTTACACCCGTTACACTACAGTAATGGGTCCTTAACAGCCGAAACAGGTCAAATTGGACCGATACAAACCGTTACGACCCAAAAATCCGAGTGAATAGAACCCAATTACTCATCAATTTTTTTCACATTTCCACTGCAACGTCGAATATAGAATTCAAATGGATCAAATAGGAAATGATACTGTGAATCATAAAACTATAATGAAATATGCGATCAATTAAGATTTATCAAATTTGAAAAAGAGTCAAAAGAAATAAATTTTTTTCTCTAATTTCAACCTTTACTCCAAATCTACACTTCTTAGCCTCAAATCTTCATGTACGAGTCACATCTATGTTTCTTGTCTTCCAATCTTCATAGCCCACAGTCAGATCTACGGTTGTTGGCTTTAAATCTTCATATAGACTTCAAACTTGGGAGTTGGGAGACAAGCAATGCACAACAAAAATGTAGATTTCGAAAATCTTGTACCTTGAAAGATTCTCCATGCATCTATTGTCCATATTCAACATTTGGCTTCTTGAGTTTGAGCACTGTGAGGACACAACATGCCTGGCAAAAGTAGTCTCCCTCCCTTGTTTATGGATCTTTGTTTTGTTTCTAGCTTCCTCTGTATTTGGTGTACTCTGTTTATTCTATTCTCTACACTTGTGTCTTTGAATGTGTACACGTGCACTAAATCCAAAGAAGCCACTTAAGTTTCTTGTTTTATGTTTTTTTACTTCACCCAATTTGGCCAATATTTTTCATAATTATAATTGTTCCACAATATTTCATTATTAGATTCTACATAAATACCCCTAACTTTTCCTACATTCTACTCCCTAAATACCCATAAATTTTCCTACTTATTCTCCATCCTTGAAAAGAATACCGGAATTTGAACAATTTACATATACTTTAATAATTCATGGAACGTATGATCATATTTGGAGCATTTTCAAATTCTTTGAACCTTTTTATGATCTCATTGGAATCTAACAAAAACAAATTGACCATATTAGGCCTTAAGTTGTGAACTGAAAAAAATGCATGGCTCTGTTTGTCGTTATTGATCATAATGACCATTACTCCCTGTGTTCGTTACACCATTATCATTACCATTACAGTGGTTGTTGATGTTATTCAGAACTATTGTTATACATCCCTCTACAAAGTAACTCATATTTATTTCATATTTCTAATAAGGGTTCTAAAGCGAATTATAATCCACAACAACATATCAGCTAGTTGTTATAAACAATAAAAGCTAGTGGTGACATGTCTTTATTACGAATTAAAATCACAAAGTAGTCAAATATAAGCTAAAAGATAGCCAAAATAATTGAATATCTCCTTACGATCACAACTTAAGTTTAGGTTTTATTTGGGCATCGTGAATTTATTTGGGGTTTGAGTTACAATTTAGGATACAAAATTCAGGGAATCTGGGACACAAACCCACCTTGTTTCAGGTCATGTCGATTTGGGGACACTTTTGGTATCTATGATCCCCGTATCTATAAGTATTCAAAACCACACACTTCTTTAATAGACCCCCTGTGATGACTTAGACACACAGACACAGATAGTGAATTTGTAATGCATAATTTAGCAAACATAATACATAGACACTTACAGATTGGACAAGATATGGCAAAACAAAATTTGACAAGGTAAATTGACAAGAAGTAAAGAAATGGCCTTCATTAGGAATCCTAACTAGGGATGGCAGTGGACCGGGGAAAAATAGGTATTCGTCCAAACCCGTCCCGTTTGGACCGGGGTTGGACTATACGTATTGGATGGTGGACGTATATGGAGATATCCATATAAACCCGTGCAGGGATGAAGGCGAGGATGGACTTACCCTTACCCTTACCCTTGCCCCGTCCCCGCCCCGCCCCACCCCGTCCCCGCTATCCCCGTTAAAAATATAAATATATATATATACTGCCACCTACTGCTTGTTGCACCATTTTCTTCTAGCTGTTGACATTGTAAAAAGTTGCTGATGGCTCCCATTAGTCTCCTATGTGGAAGTTGTGTTATACCTGGATGTCCTAATCCTGAATTATGCTCATGCATGAGTCTTATTTTTCTTTCGTTATTCCACACAATCCACAGCCTCAAATTGATTGTTTCATTTTAGACGAACATGAATCCTGGCATTGACATGAGACTGGTTCTTTTGTTTATTGCACAATCATGTGCTTGAATNCCCATTACCCTTCCCCCGCCCCCGCCCCGCCCCACCCCGTCCCCGCTATCCCCGTTAAAAATATAAATATATATATATACTGCCACCTACTGCTTGTTGCACCATTTTCTTCTAGCTGTTGACATTGTAAAAAGTTGCTGATGGCTCCCATTAGTCTCCTATGTGGAAGTTGTGTTATACCTGAATGTCCTAATCCTGAATTATGCTTGTGCATGAGTCTTATTTTTCTTTCGTTATTCCACACAATCCACAGCCTCAAATTGATTTGTTTCATTTTGACGAACATGGATCCTGGCATTGACATGAGACTGGTTCTTTTGTTTATTGCACAATCATGTGCTTGAATCTCCTCATTTACTTGTACTTGATTTTTCTGTTAGACATCGACTTCCAACCATGAATTAATCCAAATAGATGGAACATCAGGAAGTTACCATTTCAAGAGCTGAGCATCAGCTGGAACTTGAGATGCCAGAAGCCTCTAAAGAACTTAATGTTCCTCCTAAGCTGTTGCAATTTTCTTGCAATCATATTTGTTCATTCTCCAAACAAGAGTTTACGAGTACAAATTTGCAGCAGCGATCAAAGTTGACAGTGATGCTTTGTAGGCTGATATATTTCTATATAATGGTCATGACAGCTGAGATTGTAGGTGTTATAGCAAACAGCCTTGCCATCTTTACTGATGCAGCCCACTTGCTCATTGACATCGCTGGATTTTTTTATTTCTCTTTTTGCAAATACAAATTTTTTTTTATGCAATTTTTATAGTTTTTTATGTTTTATTTTCTTTATTAAATTACAGGCGTAAAGCTACATAGCAGAAAAGTTTTCCCATTACGTTGTTTGTGTTATGTTGTGTTGTGTTAAATTATATCAAATTCAAGTAGTATTTTGGACATTTGTTGTTTGTGTTATATTGGAATGTTATAATACATTATGTTGTATTAGATTATGTTAGATTAGTTACAATGTTGTTAGATTATTTAAAATATTGGATTTGTTTAGAATTTTGGATTATGTTGACTTGGGCTTGGGCTTGGGCTTGGGCGGGGACGGGGGAAGTGGGGACGGGGACGGGGATTAGAAATTTACTCGTGGACGAGGATGGAGATGAAAATTATACCCGTTAACGGGGTGAACCGGAGATGGACTAAAGTTTTTTAAGCGGGTACGGGGATGGAGACTATACCCTCCGCCCTTGCTTTGGTCCACTGACATCCCTAATCCTAACCAATCAATCAAGAATGCTGAATAATCATAAACCCACATTGTATTTAAGTGCTATGGTCTAATATCAGAGCACAAGCGAGTAAGAATTGCTGAGTTACCTGGGGAACATAAAACGTAATGAACAATATAGGAACCGTCATAAGATCCAAATATATTTTGTAGTACTGCAACAAAAATGCAATTTTTAGGATTTTTGATTTAAAGATATACAAACAGAGTTAGAAAAAGGAGGACCAAATGTACTGTAACAGTTCAAACGAGGATAAAACCACTAATAAATGAGTAACTCACCTTGGCTAATAAGACAAATAGGCCAGAATCTTTTCCAACTGACGATCTTCGAAAAGAAATCTGATAAGATGTAGAATAAGAGTCACCATAAATACCTCTCAACGCATCAAGAAAAACTAGCTAAAGCCACTAATACGATACATACTAATTTCTTTAATCTAAGTGTAGATGACAAATCAAAATCATAAGGTATTCATTCAAACTCGACCCAATAATTATGTTTCATTTGCAAAGATTGTACAAAGCTTTTGAACTCTAATATGCAAGCAAAATCAAAATTCTTTTAAACATCACTTCTTTTTGCCACATCTTGAGTGGCAGAAAAGTATGTCCAATGGATTGACAACAGCAAGCTCACAGCTCCAACAGAGGTAGTTTGAGTGCATGCTTGTCACTCTTAATAGAGAGAAAACTTCGCTCATCAACTGAAAAGACTGTCCAAAGTCCATGGACCTCTAACGTTCAAGCAAAATTAATATTTAGAAAGAAAACCAATTATTTTGTCTCTTTCCCCATTAGTGCAGCACATTAGCTCGCCAATAGCAAGCCAACAACACTAATACAGAAAGCTTCACTCATACTACGGTCGAACCCCATTGTGCAAGAATAATCAGGATCCTCATTCTTAAAACCAGAGTTAGGAAGCCCGCCCCCCCCCCCCCCCCCCCCCCCCCCCCCCCCCCCCCNTTGTAGGTGTTATAGCAAACAGCCTTGCCATCTTTACTGATGCAGCCCACTTGCTCATTGACATCGCTGGATTTTTTTATTTCTCTTTTTGCAAATACAAATTTTTTTTTATGCAATTTTTATAGTTTTTTATGTTTTATTTTCTTTATTAAATTACAGGCGTAAAGCTACATAGCAGAAAAGTTTTCCCATTACGTTGTTTGTGTTATGTTGTGTTGATTTAAATTATATCAAATTCAAGTAGTATTTTGGACATTTGTTGTTTGTGTTATATTGGAATGTTATAATACATTATGTTGTATTAGATTATGTTAGATTAGTTACAATGTTGTTAGATTATTTAAAATATTGGATTTGTTTAGAATTTTGGATTATGTTGACTTGGGCTTGGGCTTGGGCTTGGGCGGGGACGGGGGAAGTGGGGACGGGGACGGGGATTAGAAATTTACTCGTGGACGAGGATGGAGATGAAAATTATACCCGTTAACGGGGTGAACCGGAGATGGACTAAAGTTTTTTAAGCGGGTACGGGGATGGAGACTATACCCTCCGCCCTTGCTTTGGTCCACTGACATCCCTAATCCTAACCAATCAATCAAGAATGCTGAATAATCATAAACCCACATTGTATTTAAGTGCTATGGTCTAATATCAGAGCACAAGCGAGTAAGAATTGCTGAGTTACCTGGGGAACATAAAACGTAATGAACAATATAGGAACCGTCATAAGATCCAAATATATTTTGTAGTACTGCAACAAAAATGCAATTTTTAGGATTTTTGATTTAAAGATATACAAACAGAGTTAGAAAAAGGAGGACCAAATGTACTGTAACAGTTCAAACGAGGATAAAACCACTAATAAATGAGTAACTCACCTTGGCTAATAAGACAAATAGGCCAGAATCTTTTCCAACTGACGATCTTCGAAAAGAAATCTGATAAGATGTAGAATAAGAGTCACCATAAATACCTCTCAACGCATCAAGAAAAACTAGCTAAAGCCACTAATACGATACATACTAATTTCTTTAATCTAAGTGTAGATGACAAATCAAAATCATAAGGTATTCATTCAAACTCGACCCAATAATTATGTTTCATTTGCAAAGATTGTACAAAGCTTTTGAACTCTAATATGCAAGCAAAATCAAAATTCTTTTAAACATCACTTCTTTTTGCCACATCTTGAGTGGCAGAAAAGTATGTCCAATGGATTGACAACAGCAAGCTCACAGCTCCAACAGAGGTAGTTTGAGTGCATGCTTGTCACTCTTAATAGAGAGAAAACTTCGCTCATCAACTGAAAAGACTGTCCAAAGTCCATGGACCTCTAACGTTCAAGCAAAATTAATATTTAGAAAGAAAACCAATTATTTTGTCTCTTTCCCCATTAGTGCAGCACATTAGCTCGCCAATAGCAAGCCAACAACACTAATACAGAAAGCTTCACTCATACTACGGTCGAACCCCATTGTGCAAGAATAATCAGGATCCTCATTCTTAAAACCAGAGTTAGGAAGCCCGCCCCCCCCCCCGCCCCCGGGTGGAATCATTCCGGGCAGAAAAGATAACCATTGCCCTATACAGAACACATGTTTCCATGTTATGAGCAGCAAACTCCAACCACCACTACTTTTCAAACAGCTAAGGTCCAACACCTTCGTATAAAATCCTCCTGGGCAGATAAATTGACCATCATTTTGCATAGAAGCACATGCTCCTATGCGAAGAACATTTTAGGGTATATGTCCAAGCAAGGTATATGTCAGAGAGCTAGGGCAAGTAAAGCAGTATTCCGCCACCCTAGCAAGGTTTATTCCTAAGAAATATGTATATCATCATCCCCCACATGATAAAAGTGCTTATGTGATCATCCAACTCTGTGATTACCCAGAAAAGAGGGTACTAATAACAGAAAATAAAATAGAAACTTTCAGCTTCAGAATTTGATAAGAGCAGAGCTAAATACCTGAACATTAACAAAATGCAAACCAGCAATCAATAAAGGAAAGATAGGCCCTAAAGCACCTTGTGGAAATTCAGTCAAATTCTGGAACCATAGAGTCCCCCCCTGCAATGATCGTAATGGAATTTTATATGGGCACCGAACAAAATATCTCAATTTCCCAACAAGATATTAAACTATGCTGAAGAGTTGAGCATTCTGTAACACATTATATGGAAATATTTAACAGAAGACTAAAACTTTTCTACAAATACTTGTTACATTCACTCTGAAAAATTAATGAACTATCTAAAGGTGTACAGTGCTTCATAGGCCTAGAGAGCATATTCAAAGAGGAGAGTTGATATGGGAATCAGTTTAGAGGTCAGCATTATACAAAAATGAAAGAATGAAAGGTTATTCCTGACTGACAATTGTTTAGTTTTGGAGCTGCAAGGTTAATGCAAAATAGCGTTCAAGAGGCTTAAAACAGTTGATTGGTGAACAAGAAGGGCAAGTGCTTGAAGCATAGTTTGAGCAGAAAGAGTGTGATCTGGGATGGTTGGGGTGCCATGAAAAGAACTCCTCAAAAAGTAAACAAAGGGCTGCTTGTTGTTCTTTAAGTGCTTGAGTTGATTGACTGAAAGAGGGAAGTGCCGGGCTTGGAAAATAGGGGTCCATGGGTGAAAAAGAGGCTTGCCACATCTGGCAACAGGGTTTAAAGGTTCCACAACGCTGCCCTACAACATTTTGGCATAAAACCCAAAAATGTTTCTACAAATTTCTTGGCTTATAAGCAAGGATCAAAATATTATTTCAGCACATTATTTTGGTCACCTAAGAAATGGAAACGTTTTGAAAATATTTCAGAAACGTTTTGGAAATATAATGGAAATGGATAAAAAATTTAGGAATTTATTTTCAAAATATTTTAAAGCATTGATCTAAATATATTTAAACATCTTGAAACACTTTGAAACATTCCAAAACAATGGTTGAAATATTCTGAAACATCTCTCAACAACTCAACATTCCAAAATATCCATAAACACATCGAAGCATTAGAATTTCGATTCGATCAGTGATTCGTTTCGGTCTCTCCTTGGAAACCGAAACGTTTCAGCCATTTTGAAACATTCAAAACAATATTTTGATCCTTGCTTATAAGAGTCAAGCCAGAAAGCAAAACCCAAGGAAGTGCAAAAATGGTTTCGAATATGGAGAAACAATATAGAGCTTCAGAAGATAACCAAGAGGTCGAAAATAATGGAACCATGACATTATGATGAGCAATTAGCCCGACCAAACAACAGATCGTTAAAATAAAAATATCATACTATTAAGTATTTATGGCATAAAAACAACGGACATAATAACAAAGATATAGGAACGTAGCAGCTGTGCGGAATGTGCTAATCTGAAAAGAGTCCTTCAAGTAATAAATATAAGATGTAGATGACAATAATTAATAACAATATCAAATGTCTTTATAAGCATTCAATGTCCAGCTAAGTATGTCAAGGCCTTACGCAATCAAAACCAGGATGATGATCCAGTGACATTCTCCGAATACTAGTCAACCACAAGAGAAAGCATGGGACCTGCAAATGAATCACAAGAAAGTAAAAAAAAAATAATTATAGGAATCACTATAAAGTTGAATAACAACACATTTTGCAGAAGTTTACGTCTTAAGTACTGGCCAAAGGAGAGAATATTTGAAACTGTAACTCAACCTACATATGAGGACAAGAGTTCTAACCATAGAAGTGATTAAAATACTTAAAAAATCAAAATTCCCAATGCTGAAACTATCTGATACGAAAACTCACAGTACATATACAGATTATAAATGAAAGTTCAGATTATAGCAAATAAAACAACTAAAATCTGTGATTCACCTACCTACTATAAAGAGGGACAGTAAACTAATACTTAAAAAATTTGACTCCAGGAAGGTGACCATATTGAATAGAGTGCACTATGGGCTATCATGTGACCCAATAAGACTCAAAAAAATGATACATACGATATTATTTGCGGTGGAATGTAGCAATGTATTTTTCCTTTTCTCAAGAATTTTGAAAGGTTGCATAAAATACCAGATGCCATAGGTTGGAAAAGGCTTGGATTGACTAAAATTAGTTGCTAACTAGAAGACACTTGTATGCTTTTGGTGTTAAACTGAAGGCCAACTGGTAGGGCTGGGGATAGGAGCATAGGGTATGGAATTTAGGCTCTCTGAATGAATAATTATGAAGATGAGGGCAGGTTGAGACTCAGATAAGAGTAATGAACTCTTCACAGGAAGTTTTAAGTAATAAGAAAAGGAAAGTTCTGTGAAAACGTTCTCCAGAATTGAATAATATTGGCCTTCATCGCTTGCTACAAGATACTGCTAATATTCCACCCTCAGAACTTACGTGGTTACTGTTGTCTCAAAGACTCACAAAATGTCTCGAGGTAAGCCAGACTTCATGATTTTCACTAGTATATGAGGGGGTTCAAATTTTGCAGGCTTGATGTATAAGTTGGAGATTATGAAAAAGACCATATAGTCACATGCATTGGGGCTTCTTTTATTCGTTGGAGAGGTGGACTTTTGTTTCTATCTTGGATTCTCCTATTTGACTAAGGGCACTCAGCTAGAGGCTTCTTTGAGAGTTCAAGGCACCTTAGGAAAGGGGATTCTCTGTCACTATTCTTATTTAGAACACTTTAATAGAATGATTTATTGATCAGTGGAGGCAGAAATCATAGAGCGGCAGGTTCACTATTGAAAACACCATGTTGCGCGGTCTAGACCTATTTTAAACGATCATCTAACAATTAATATCTGATTAACCAATGTTACCACTAATTTATATTTTCCTGTGCAACCTGCCGTATTCCTAATACCAAAAAAACTTGACAAAGAACAGTCTAACATAATAATGATAATGCAAATTATAACCCACAAATGTCATAATATATTACAATCAATCTTCTTATAACTAAGTCTATGTAAAGTACACATGTCATACTTTCCTGGTGAGAATCATATTAATGTGAACAAGCCTTGCCATCTATTAGAATCATGACGAAACTTAACATCTAACAATTCCAATACTGTAACCACTTTAGCATTGCCCAAAACTTTTAACTAGTATAGGGTCAACTAAACCCATTTCCAGATTTTGTATTGAACACATAGCGTAGCTGGGACCCTTCAAATCATGTTTGAGCCTATGTTCAAACCAAACCCACCCCCTATTTAACTAAGCTGGAAAGAATGTCCGCCAAGTTCAGATAAGGGAATGCTTCCCCCAACCATTAAAGGAAAGGCTTGGGAGATGTGGCTGGGGAAGGAAAATGTTTTTTCGACCGTGGTGGTATGATTGTCGGGCCCCTCTCCTCATTCCGCCCGGAGCATTGAAATAATGGGAGAAAGAAACGTCATAATATTTATGAAGAAGCAGCTTCATATTCATAAGCTTAGGAACATTAATGCTTTTTTTTGAGCTCTAACGCACACTTTTCCCTAAACTTGTAAGTGGGATTTAGTCAAGTAAAGCAAAAGGCGAAAGAAAGACAGAATCGGAAGAGGCAGATTTAGACAACCAACGTCAGCTATAAGTTCACACCCCAACCAAAAGTTGTCTTTCCTCAAGTTCTAGTTAACTAATTTGCAAGGATTGAAATACAGTGTTAAAGCGTCCAAAACGTTTCGAATTTTCGACACACCGACACAAAATTGGGGAGGAAAACAAAAATTCTCGAGTTTCAAGGGAAAAATTATCCAGTGATATTTCGATCAAAATAACGGCATAATTCGACAAGTATTAAAAAATTGTACGTCCACAATTGTCGTTCCAAGCTCAAAATATTGTCTTTCATCATAATAGAGAGAGAGAGAGAGAAAGAGACAGAGCACACCCAGAAACCCAAAGAAGAAGAGTTTGGCAGCTTATCTCCTTGAGTCCAGATCTGAGCTACCCTTCACTCCTATGGTCTGGATCCAGCCTCCTCTCCAAGTATTAACTTCTACCTTTCTCTTCTTTTTCTTCTCTCCTTCTTCCTTCTTCTTTATTGGGTCTTCATCGAGTCAATTTCTCACTCAGATCTACAAATCAAGGATGGGTATTGCACCCTCTTTCTCTCAGATTTGCAGATCTGGTATAAGTGTTAATTAAGTTAATATCCTTTATAACACTTGTTATAATTCCATCCTATTTTTTCTTTTTTCCTTTTTCCTTTTATTCTTGTATATTATTATTAATATGATGTGTTTGATAATAGCATTCAACTAGTATTATGAGTGTGCTCGACACTTCATAGTAGTAGGGGTGTTCAAATTTTCGATTGGCTGCAATTTTCTACCCTATCTGACCCTACCCTACTGAACGGCCAGCCGCAAAAATCAGGTAGGAATGCGGAATACCCATCAATTTTCGCATTCCTACCCTACCCTACTCCCACAAAATATATTTAACTTTTTAAAAAAAAATTTAGTAATTATAAGAGTATTTGTGTGGTATAATTTAAATTATAACATTGTTATTATTGTGAATGTTTGAGTTGTTAAAACATAGACTTATTTTTTGTGTAAGTTACATGATTTGTGTTAAGCAGTTATGATTTTAATGTATTTCATATGGTTTAAACTTAAAATAATTATTATTGTATTTGTGTAACAATTATGATAGATTGATGTTCATGATTTTTTATGTTTTATTTTAATTTTAATTATTATTGTAGTTATTTTACNCTTTTTTTTGAGCTCTAACGCACACTTTTCCCTAAACTTGTAAGTGGGATTTAGTCAAGTAAAGCAAAAGGCGAAAGAAAGACAGAATCGGAAGAGGCAGATTTAGACAACCAACGTCAGCTATAAGTTCACACCCCAACCAAAAGTTGTCTTTCCTCAAGTTCTAGTTAACTAATTTGCAAGGATTGAAATACAGTGTTAAAGCGTCCAAAACGTTTCGAATTTTCGACACACCGACACAAAATTGGGGAGGAAAACAAAAATTCTCGAGTTTCAAGGGAAAAATTATCCAGTGATATTTCGATCAAAATAACGGCATAATTCGACAAGTATTAAAAAATTGTACGTCCACAATTGTCGTTCCAAGCTCAAAATATTGTCTTTCATCATAATAGAGAGAGAGAGAGAGAAAGAGACAGAGCACACCCAGAAACCCAAAGAAGAAGAGTTTGGCAGCTTATCTCCTTGAGTCCAGATCTGAGCTACCCTTCACTCCTATGGTCTGGATCCAGCCTCCTCTCCAAGTATTAACTTCTACCTTTCTCTTCTTTTTCTTCTCTCCTTCTTCCTTCTTCTTTATTGGGTCTTCATCGAGTCAATTTCTCACTCAGATCTACAAATCAAGGATGGGTATTGCACCCTCTTTCTCTCAGATTTGCAGATCTGGTATAAGTGTTAATTAAGTTAATATCCTTTATAACACTTGTTATAATTCCATCCTATTTTTTCTTTTTTCCTTTTTCCTTTTATTCTTGTATATTATTATTAATATGATGTGTTTGATAATAGCATTCAACTAGTATTATGAGTGTGCTCGACACTTCATAGTAGTAGGGGTGTTCAAATTTTCGATTGGCTGCAATTTTCTACCCTATCTGACCCTACCCTACTGAACGGCCAGCCGCAAAAATCAGGTAGGAATGCGGAATACCCATCAATTTTCGCATTCCTACCCTACCCTACTCCCACAAAATATATTTAACTTTTTAAAAAAAAATTTAGTAATTATAAGAGTATTTGTGTGGTATAATTTAAATTATAACATTGTTATTATTGTGAATGTTTGAGTTGTTAAAACATAGACTTATTTTTTGTGTAAGTTACATGATTTGTGTTAAGCAGTTATGATTTTAATGTATTTCATATGGTTTAAACTTAAAATAATTATTATTGTATTTGTGTAACAATTATGATAGATTGATGTTCATGATTTTTTATGTTTTATTTTAATTTTAATTATTATTGTAGTTATTTTACGTTTTAGTATTATTGATTTATTGTGTTGTTAAATTGATGCATGTTATTTAATTGAATTGTTAAAATGATCCAAAAATTAATAATTACAAAAGTGTTTACCCGACTTCCTACCCGATTAATCAGGTAGAAAGTCGGATAGGAATACCACACCTGATCGGGTAAGATAGGTAAAGAAAAAATTCTTCCACAAAGTATCGGGTAGGAAGACGGAAGATTATATTTCCTACCCGTAGGGTAGGGTGAACACCCCTACATAGTAAGATGGATGTAATCATGTACTCATTAGCACTTCATTTGTATTATGAAACCTTAAAAATATGTAAAAATGTGTTTGGCGGATGAAAATTAAGGATGTTTTCAATAATCAAAATATCGTTTCAAAACAGTCGAAACATCTGAAATGTTTCCGTTTCGAAGGAAACCGAAACGAATCAGTAATGGAATCGAAATTCTAATATTTCGAGGTATTCCATAATATTTCGATATGTTTTATAATATTTTAATGCATTTGCACAACTGTTTCGGAATGTTTCAATATATTTTAAGATATTTTGATATATTTCAATTAATGTTTTAGAAAAATAATTTTTAAATTTTTTTTTGTTTTTCATTATATTTCTGAAATAGGTCGATACATTTCCGTTTCATAGGTGACCGAAACAATACACCGAGAAAAAAATTTGATCCTTGGGTGTGTTTGGCTTGTTTTTCAAAAACATTTTTTTGTTTTTGGATCCCAAAAAAAAGGCAAAAACATATTTGAACTGTGAAAACATCTAAAATGCCTTCGAAAATCCTCAACAAAAATAACGGAATTTTGGGAAACACCCAAAAGGTGTTTTACCCCTTTTTGAGTTCAAAATTAAGGGAACTGCAAAAACACGGAGATAAACCAATGGCTTTTTTATTGTGTAGTTATTACCTGGTATAAAACCCCCTTTTTTCTCTCTCTTCCTCATCATTTTCACACCAGACACTCCTCTCCCAACAGCGTTCACACCGGCTGAATCCCAATCGTCAGAGTATTCTTCAACTAAGGAAGTATAGGATCATCTTCGTCCAAGGATCCTTACCAACCTCTGTACCAACAGATATGACGGACGATTCAAGGCAATATAGCTCAAGCCCGAATCCATCATCAATCGGCAAAAATTTCCCACATTTGTCAGATATTAGCTCAAGCCAGGTATAAAATCGTGGACCTATCATTTGTTTTCTAAAATTTGTTGCTCATATTTGCCAAATTTGTGGTCATCTCGTTTTTGGAAGATGGCCCTTCTATTTTTGTTGATGTATTTTCCAAATCTGTTGTAAAAATGACATAACTCAACAAATTTGTTCAAATATGATGCAGATCTATTGAGTTATGTTACAAATCTATTGATATATGTTAGATCCATGATACATGTTAGATCTATTGATATATGTTAGGTTCAAAGAGAGCATACAAACCCATTTCGGATCTGATAGATGCTAGGATTAGGTATGGGATTTCCAAATCTGTGTTTTCTACTTCCATAACTATTGATTTGTTTAGTTAAAATGTATTTGACTGTACAGAAAATTACGGAATCAGGTTTTCTGAATTCCTGATATCTTTAGGATCTTCATGGGTTGGACATTTTCATGTTGTACCAGTAGAATTTATTGGGGCATTTATAGACATTTGCATGTGTAAATTTGGTATTTTGTTGGGTTTCTGGATTTGAAGTTTGGGGACTTCTTGGGTTGTTGGTGCTCACAATTTTTTCAAAGATATTTGGTCGGAGCTTTTCGTGTAGCTGTTATTGTTTTCTTCTTAATGATTGCCTCCTATTATTGTCAAGCATATCGCAACATATCCATGGTTGGTGAATAGGTGTATAATCTCATGGGAAGCACCTCTAGCTCTTCTACTTTGGCATCCAAGGAGGAATTGGACAGTGAGAGCACATCTTCAAAATTGTCATCCGATGGTGTATTGGAGAAGTCTCTTACGAAATGAAATCCCACATTGCTTATTACTAAGATGTGGTGGACGAACTGTCACAAGCTAGGAGGGAAACCCTCCACAAAGATGTTTAGGAATTACTTACAATGCTTGGAGATGGCTTTTAACTGTGCATGAATGTAATCCAAGAAGTCATTGTTGTGTGAGATGTAATATTCATTTCAACAATACTTAGGCATACCAATTATTGTTTTATATTTTATCAGGATGAGATATTTGCATTGATGAAAATTGATAGAGAATTTTTTTTTTTTTTTTGCTAATAGAGATTTTGATGTTTGCTATTATGAATCAATTCATTGAAAATTGTTGGTTGAAACAGACGGTTGACCCGTATGTGCATGTTGCGATCATAATGTGATTTTGTGGTATGTATTATAATAGAATTTGTATTATGATAATGTGTACAATAGTGTTTTTCTAGTGTATAATGATTTTATGTTTATTTCGCTAAGTTTGACATATTGAAAAAAAAAATTTGAAACAGTCAATCCAAACATCTCATATTTTCATTGTTTTCTGGGTTACTATTCAAACAGGTTTTACTATTTTTTATTTTTTAGAATTGTTTTAAGAATTGCATAACCAAACAAGTTTTGAGACATAAAAACACCAAAACACACTTTATTAAAAATTTTTCCAAAACTTTTTTCTGAATACTGTTTTGAGATGCAATCCAAACACACTCTAAGTGTTTGAAACTAGTTGAAGTGATTTTCACCTCGTGTCAAGTATTTGTTTCCCTACAACTTGATGTTATCTTGTATAAATAGATGTTAACCTAATAAACATACTCAATTAATCAATTATTAAGCTAATCTTTACAAATAAATGGATTGTATTTGTGTTTCCATATTTTTTTCTCCGTTTTCTTTGCGTTTCCATTTTCGAATTGGCGGAAATAGTACTCTGAAACAATATTTTGATCCTTGCTAATTTGGCATTAGCTGAGAAGAGAATTGAAAACCTCTAAAGGGTCCTCCAACCACAAGGAATTGGAGAGAAACATAATTACTCACCTAGTAAAATGGGAAAATTTTGCTATCCTACAAAAGAGAGGTCTTGGTTTGAAAAAACTGAGATTATGTTGAACGGTGACCCAAAGGGAAGTGTGGATTGGTAATTCCATTCATTTTGTTGTCTTCTTCAAAGTACAACCTAGAGCTATGTCAATCTAAGGCCCTAAACCTACCATATGTATGAAACTTGAAATCTCAAAGTGTAGTATTTTAGGGTTTAGAATGGTGAAGAGGCAAGAGAAGAAAAAAGAAGAGATGTAAGAAAATTAGGGTTAAGGAGAGTTAGAGATTACCTATCTCCTCTCATCACCCATATTTATATTAATCTTTCATGCCCTTAATTAAAATATTGCATAGATATCTTTCATGCCGAACTGGCATACGTCTTTCATAGCCAATATCAGTGTTATTTAAGGCGTAAAGCGAACCGAAGCGACCAAGACTCCAAACGCCTAGGCGAGAAGCGAGAAGCGAAGCGACACGCTTTACCGAAGCAAAGCGAACAGTTAAAAAATATATATATTTTAGTTTAATTACTTCTAAACAATCTAAGTTCTAATTTTATATATACTAAATATTTAAATGCAAGTAAAACCATAAACATTTAAATTAAAAAAAACACTAATAATATCTCAAATCTAAATAACAGTTATAACTTAAACATTTAAATTCAAACAAATACTAACAATTGTATACATTTTCATATTGACAGGGTAGGACAACAAAAGAAGCAGAATCAGGACAGCAGCAGAATTAGCAACAAAAAAAAAAGAAGCAGAATGAGGATAAAAAAAAACAAAAGCAGCACAGGACAGCAAAACCGAAGCAGCAACAGAATCAACAAAAAAAAAATAGAAGCAGAATGAGCAAAAAAAAAAACAGAAGCACAATGATCATGACAGGAGCAGAATCAATTGTAAACAATTTCATATGTAATTATATACTGAATAAAAAAAAGCAGAACAGAGGCACATTTCACATGTACTAAAATAATTAAACATGGTATAAGCATAGACCACTTTTTGGTACCATTTGTATATATATAAGAAAAGGGAAAAGTATAACCAAGACATATCAGAGACACTTCTTTGTAGAAGAATTTATTATTTACCCCCATTTCTGATACTCCTGCTTTATTTTTTTATCATAATTGTCATGCAGTGTAGTCGCCTGACTCCCACATCCCACAAATATTCTAAATGAATTCAGCAACACAAGGAAAAAAAAGGAATGTGTTTTGTTCGAAACATTGTTTATAAAAAAAAAAAAAAATAGACCAGCAATAGTCTAAAAAAAAAGTCATTAGTGATTAAAAAATAAATGAAACTACTAACCTGTAATCAGGAAAAAAAAAAAAAAAAAAGTGAAGTAGAATCGCTTTTTATAATAAAGCGTTCGCTTTTTCGATTTTTCGCTTTTTCGCTTTTTCTCGCTTTTTTCTCGCTTCGCTCACGTTCGCTTCGCCTGGGGTCCTCCAGGCGAGATAAGCTCGCCTCGCCTCGCTTCTCGCCTAGGCGAGCTTTTCAAAACACTGGCCAATATGTTCATTGTATTCTACTTCAATCTACATTTTTTTCACTCGAAATACAATATTTTTTTTTGCATTATTGATTACGCAGTCATTTATCCATAAGCAATATTTTTTATAAGTAAGAAAATAAAATTCAATTTTTTGTCAGCATTGGGCAGATAGAAGTATCACCTGAATGGAAACGTATGCAAGGAACCATAGAAATGAAGGGCACCCAACAGCTCGTCTTTCCCTCTGGAAGAGGGTAATTTGGTCTCTAAAACTCCTTCCTGAGAGGGGTGGCGGCCATGGGGGAGGCACTTTAACAATCACATAAAAATGTTAAGTAAAATCTATGTAAGTTAACTTGCTGCACTTTACTGGAATAGAAGTGATTCCTTCAAAAAAAAAAGAATTAGATCCCTTGTAATCCACTTTATCTCAACCATAAATCGAAATGGATGTACTTTATTCAAAAGGGTCCACCAATAATACACTGTGGGTAATATAGTATTGAGAAAAATTAAATAAAAGAACATTCATATTTTATTTCAACAGGCAAGCTTTCTGATTTTCCCCAATTAACCATTAATGGCTAGATGGCTCACACTTCACCCATGGCCTTATTTCCTTTCTAATCCTCTCCAAAATTGTAGAGCATGATAAACCAAAAGAACCTTTCTTGAATCCTAGATTTGTAGTGAACTATAATGAAAAGAATACTGTTTTCTTTCTTTGATAAAAGCAAACAAATGATCATTTTCTCAAAGTCCTAGAAAGGATATTGTACTATATCAAAACATTGTTAAAGGGACACAGCCTTGCACTTCCAAAGGCAAGTAAATGAATGTGAAGATGTAGACAAGCGGTACTGCTGAGTATTGAATTGTTCGTAACTTACTCTGAGTATATTAAAGATGAAGGAAATACATGAAAATTCACGAGACAAGGAAACATTAGTAGAAGATATTAAATGACAACTAAAAAAACACATTTCAATTGCCAAACTTTCAATGGCCCTGATTCGACGGGACGTGATCCACTATAGCACAAGAGAATTCTGAATTCAATAACTGGAAGCAGAGCTTTGAATCAATTACATAAGAGAAACCGAAAACTCACTCACATCTAGGAAATAACTCCCCAATCCTCTTTAACTTGTTAAGTTGCAAGATAAGTATGGGAAATAATATCATTCGAAGAGCCAAAGTGGAGGAGGCGATTATTATCCACCTGCAAGAATGAAATAATAAACTAACAACAAAGAATGCAAATTACGTGAACACCATAGCTCTCAAGTTCATGACTAAAATAACAGGGAAACAACAGATAACATTCATGCATCAATAATGTGATTATTAAGACATGGAATTGAAGTGTAATTGAACTCTTTTCAGTTAAACGCCCTTTAATTCCATTTCAAAGACTTAAACTCCATCATCTCAAGCCCAGCATTCATATATCAGTAAAAATCTGGTAAAAAAACCCAACGACAACATGAAATATCCCAAAGTCGGGCCAAAGCTCGTGAAAATAAAGAAACCCAATTTAAGCCAAGGAATAGCAATTAAAACATTGTTGCCTTAGAATCCTCAAATAATAAAAGCCTCCGTTGAGCAAAAACAAACCCCACCCACCCACTCACATTAAGATATGCACACGAATCTAATACTAACCAAGGCAAGCCAGAGAAATCATGATAGAGATCGAGCATTGAAATCAATGCACGAACCAGCAAAATCGACTCTTCGCCACCACTAACATTGACCAATGCCTCTACAGTTTCTGAACCACTTATAATATCATTGGCACCACCAACGCCTAAGTTCGAGAGCTCAGAGGAAGCTGGATCACCATCAAAATTAACTGTACCACCCACCTCTGGTAATGAGTCACGAGTTGAGAAAGAGCGGCAGAACGAGAAATGATTATATGCTGCGAGCGAGGGCACAATTGTTGAAGATGATGGGAAGGGAAGAATTGATTTAGAGGTGTTAGTAATGCGATTGTGGTATGGTTTGGTGAGGTACTGCTGGTGGTGGTGGTGTGATTGGGTTAAAAGGGAATTTGAAGAAGAAGAGAATATAGTTGCTGTAGGTTGAGAGCGTCGAAGAAGCCTTGATAGGAGGTTCGGTGTGGTCATGGCCAAAATGGTGGGAGTAGGGCTCAGGGAATTCCTTGAAGTGGGTGATATTCAACCCTCTACAGCACCGTACAGCACCGGTCCTCTTTCAAAAGAAAGATGTGTCCTTTAGACTACTGTTGACGATCATTGTTTTTACTTTTTAGAGGATGTCACGGCTGTAACTACAAAATAATTAAAATTTTAATTATTCAATGGCTAAAATTAGGACCGTCAAAATTCGACACGACAGTATTAATCAATACGAATTAAGGGAGTTTGTGTGAGATTTTAATGAGTTTGGGTGATAAATGGATTGACACGTCAAACACGTTTAATAAATGGGTCATGTTCGGGTGAGACCTGTCTAACCGTTTATCACTCATTTACCCGTTTAAATAAAATTAATATAATAATAAATTAATAATTATTTTAAAAAATTAACAAGAAAAAAGAAATAAATAAATCAATACAAAAAAAAATAAAGTAGTAGTTCAAAGACAAAGGAGGAGAGATGAGGAACACTTCAAAGAGAAAGACAAACCAATGTCTTTTGTTTTTGTCCCACATTAGAAAATAAGGAGAGATGGAGAGGGATAAGTTGTCTATAAAAGGCAATGACCTCTTTCTTTTATTTTTAAGCCTTCAAGTCTTATTTTTATAAAATTTGGCTAAAAATTTCTCTTTTTTGAGATAAGTATAATTGGCAGTAGAAAAAAGTTGAGTATTAAAATTTGTTGATATAATTTTTTTTTAAATTAAACGGGTTAAACGAGTCATGTCGTGTTACCCGTTTATTAAACGGGTCGTATTCGTGTTGAGATTTTTCACCCGTTTATTAAACGTGTTGTGTACAAGTTTACATATTTTTCATCTGTCACGCGTTTAACTCGACACGTTTGACACCCCTAACTAAAATCATGCTCTAATAAAAGATGTTTATAATAGGTAAAATACAATGTTATTATAGGGATGTTCTATATTTAAAGCATTAGTGTAGTATACATATAAATAGTTTATAATATATTCTTTTTCCTCTTATTTTTCCCACCTCTCTTAGTCACTCATTGTCTTTTCCTCCATTTTTTCATTCTCTTTCAAATAGTTCCAACAAAGATGCAAAATATAAAAAATAATATTTGAAACAAATAGTTAAAATATAAAAAATCTGTTAGAATGTATATTAAAAAAGTGAATAACTATAAAAGAAAAAGTGTACTTTAAAATTGTTAAAATACAAAATCTTATTGGAAATACTCTTCAAAAAGTGAACGTTCAAAATACATACCCAATCTTGTTGGTGGCTGAATTGTTCGATCTTTTGGGTAAGGCTATTATTACTCACGGATGTAAGACCTTTATTTTGTTAATGGGAGAATCACACTTTATACCTCTCAAAAAGATTTTTAAAATTTTTAATTGATATCCTCAATGATTAATTATCTCACTTTATACCCTCAATGTCATAAAATAATTACAATATGACCCATACACTAACTTCCATTACTATTTTCGTCAAACCTTATTGCATGTTGCTCAATTGAATTTAATAGAAACAATAACAAAAAGTTAGTGTGAGGGGTGTGCAATTATTTAATGACATTAAGGGTACAATGTGAAAAAAAAATCTTTAAGAATATAAATTAAAATTTAAAAAAAGAAATCATGGTGCAAAATATAAGTCATCGTTTGTTAGTTTCCTCTATCGTTCATTTATTTTTATCGATTTTACCATCGACGACAATTTATACTTCCTTTATGCGAATAGATTTGCCTTCCTCTAGCATTATGTCCACTGTGTTCTTTTTCTGTCTGACTCTCGATCAATTCCCTTTCCCCTCCCCTCTTTCTCCCTCTTCTCCTTCCCCAATGTGAACCCCAAATCCCAATTCTATTTGCACTCAATCTATCTATTCTTTCTCTCCCTCAATTTGATTGTGTTTGGTGCATGAAGATAATCGTGGTTGTGTGCAAACTAATGTTTCTAAGTAGAGGTTGTTGTGCTATGATGGAGTTTCTTTTTAGGTTTTATTTTTGTTTTTGGGTTTTATCTGTTAGTGATTATTCTAATTTTTACTATGTTGAAGATTTTTTGTTTTTTGTTTTTGATTTGTGAGATTGCTCTAGTTAAAGGTAAAATTGGCATTTCATGATAAAATAATTTGGTATTAACCAATCAACACTTTTTTTAAGTCAACTACATTGAAGGATAACTAATATTGTTCTTATAAAATTTTAATGTCAACTATGTCCTCCCAAATGGTGTGTCAAATTCACCTTCACCACCTTTAGATAATTATGTCCTACTAATAATAATGTATGACCACACCTTTTCCTAGGACATTAAAATGTTTGCTCATGAATCTCATACCGTGACATTTTATGTGCATTCGACTTTCACTCACTAGAGAAAAGGCTAGCCCTATTTGCGGAATAATCCCAGAAAGGATGAGAAAAAAACTCTGTCGAGTAGAAAGGTACTTGAACAGAGGGTCGGGGTTGGGTTTAGAGACAGTGAACAATATGTTGGCTCAGATGGAACTTAAGAGGGGTAAATTAGGTTTATGTTTTATAAAGTCTCTTTAGAAGACAATTTTACTACTTGTAAAATTGTTTGGTGCAATGATAGATAGTGAGCCAAACAATGTGTAGTGAGTCATGAATACAAATAATAAACAAGAAGGTAAGGGAAATTAAAGCAAACACAATTATGGAAGTTTAGCCCTAACCAACTTGGTCTACGACCTCTTCTTCCTCCCCTTTGGAGTTTCCTTTCACTAGTTTAGTCACCTTCAATTGGTGATGTTAGGATCATGTTTGTAATTGACTAATTTCATAAAATTTTTATGTAAATTTCAACCTATTTCATAGTCATAATGCTATAATGTTGAAGATCCAAAAACGTCAATGGAAGGGAAGAGTTCGTGCTTCAAGCAAACATCAATGTCACACTCCATGCCGAGAGATCCCCTTGGTTTCCCATAAATTGAAGCATAACTCAACACATGGCAATACATGCGTTTGTAATACAATAATGCATTTAAAATCAATAATGTCACCTAATAACACCATAAAACAGATAACCAATATAACATAGTACACAACGATGTCGCTTATACCAAAACAAAATATTAGGAATGATTAACCCTAGAAAGTGCGGTATTGAATTAGGATTTAGCATTAATAGTGTGCGTTAATTGAATTAGAATGTTTAATTTGAAATGTATTAAGGTTAATGTTTGAATTATATATTTTGTAGGGTTTGTACTTAATTAACAGAATTTGGAGGGACAAAGCACGAAAGAGGAACAAAAGAGGGAGGCAAGGGTAATTTCAGCAATGAACATTCACCATTTGGATGATAAAAACATCATCCCAACGCCAACAAGTTTAACAAGTCAACAAAGGAGGCTGCATGCACAAAATCCAAAGACTTAGCACCATCTGGACGGTGGCTGTGGCGTCCAAACGGTGGCTTAAATCGCCTCAACTCTTCCTCTTCTCCCATTTGTCCATTTATGCAACAAGAAGCCCTAGTTGGCTACCCTTGGGTATTTTTCGCCTTAAAGACCTTCCATCGGAGCCTATAAATAGGCTTGGCTAGCTCATTTAGCAAAAGAGCCTTCTATAGTGAAGAAAGCTAAAGACAAAGAGAAAAATGCCCTACCATAAACACTCCTAAGTCAGAAATTTTCTTCTTCTACATTTTTTTCACATCCTTTTTACTTGGAGAGTTGAACCTCTCTCACTTTTTTTCCCTAGTCGGTAATAAGAGTGAGGGTTTTGCTTTATATTGTAATGGGATTATCTTACCCTTCTTGCTCGTCTATAACAATGACGTATGAGTAGTCCGTTTATACTTTTTAGTAAAGGGTGAAGACATGTGTGATATTGTTTGTGTTATGAAAATTCTGATGTTTTACTTATGCTGTAATGTTTATACCTTCCTTAACTGATAGATGGTTTTCATTTTCGTTTGGCATCGTGTTATCATATGCTCATGGTTACGAGTACCGAGCTAAACTTATTGCTATATACGAGTTCATCTATATATTGTTACATACTTCATGCATGATACAATGATACACGTAGTTGGAATTTATGTAACAATCGGGAGATTAGTTATAGATGGGTTAAATCTTGTCATAGTCTATACTTTTGATTCAATGTATAAATTGAAACTTTTTCTTCATTGAATCATAGACCTACCGATCGAATAACTATAGTAAACATTTTGAATGGTTCACCTTCAAGTTTACTAGGGTTATTTGGTTGTTGTACGGTTCATGGACCTTCCAGCTAACCTAACCAGCTGCTGTGATATTGTTCAATCTATACATCAAAACTACTCGTTAACTTTCCAATAACATGGAAGTTAATTGCTGTAAGGTGGCATTTTCATAGTCAAACAATAGAATGCATGTTGGATCCTTGAACTAAAGAGTAGTCTTTTTTGAGTTTTCATAATCAAAAGTTTAGTTTAAGTATTTGTTTATCAGCCCTAAACTCACATCACAAGTTGTTGTAGTGCACACTATATGCACGACAATCTTATATTTTCTTTTTTGAGTTCCAGTAGATAGTTCCCTATGGATTCGAACTCAGACTTATCCAAATAATATTACAACTTGACTACTTATACTTGGGTGTATGATTAAGATCAAGTCAAGGGATACCATCCTTTTACAATAAACAGGAAAAAACAAACACTCTTGTACAAAATGTACATAATCAGCTTCCTTAATTTTTTCCCCATCTCTACTATGCTAATGCAGTAGTGGACCTAATTCTAGACTTCGGCATCCTGAAACCAATAATTTTCTTAAGTGTATTGAACATCATAATCAAATGAAATATAGCAAAAATAAAGATCAAATATCATTCCACCAAAATATGTTCACAATCTGAGGAGAACAACAAAAATCAAAGTGTTCTCAATTCACTTTGAAACTCAAATCAACCTTATATATCAAAATATTAAATATCCACATAAGCAACAAGTCAACAATAACATTTAAGCA